TCGATTTTTAAACCCCAAAATTTAAAATATATTTACATTTTACCCAATATCTTATGTAATACATTATTTGTATATTGTAAAACATTTGCTGCATTTGTATGGTTCATAGTTTATTTGCCAAAGTATTTATTAATATACATAGGTATATGTTGTCGTTATTAACTGTATATTATGTATATTTCATGTAAACTATATCATTTTTAAAATACAAACCAAAAATCTGAAGAATAATTATGTTTTCCATGTATTCTACAACATATTTATTAATCCGTAGTATCTAACTAGCGTGACGTCATAAATCTCGCCCCAAGGCTGTTCTATTAGAGACGGCATTGCATATACATATAAATAAATATACTCAGTGTTCCCTATTTAACCCCGTGTGGTGTTTCCGTGCCGTAAGAAAAAGACAACATAACTTAGCTCCATATTGTAAGAGTCTTGTTTTCCGTTAAAAAATTGTTTATATTAAATTGTGTTATTTTAAGAAATAATATTTTATTTGAATCTCTAATTGACTTTTCTTGACCGCATGTATAAAAATGTCGTTTCCTAGACGATGCGGTTTGCATTGTTGATGATTATTTAGACTGACGTCGCCATTTATCAAAAAATATTAAATTCAGATTATAATTGTGTGGAAAATATTTCTGGGACTGAATAGAAGGAATGAAGTATTATACAGGTGAGTGTATTTTGTTCACTCACGGGCATTACTGGGATTTGTATGAGAGTAGTTTAATATTATTTAGTTAACAGTTATCACTGAGCTTTAGTAGTAGATAGAGAAGGGTATTTTAGTATTACTTTTGTGTGTGTGTGTTTTATAGTAGACAAGTATTTATTAAAGGGCATTTTAATATTGTTTAGTTGAAAGACAGATGTTTATCAAAGAGTGTTTTAGTGTTATGTGAGTGTATTTTGTTCACTCACGGGCATTACTGGGATTTGTATGAGAGTAGTTTAATATTATTTAGTTAACAGTTGTTGAGCTTTAGTAGTAGATAGAGAAGGGTATTTTAGTATTACTTTTGTGTGTGGGACAGACGCCTTTGTGGCCATCCCTTTTGAGCGTGGGACAGACGCCTTTGTGGCCATCCCTTTTGTGTGTGGGACAGACGCCTTTGTGGCCATCCCTTTTGAGCGTGGGACAGACGCCTTTGTGGCCATCCCTTTTGTGTGTGGGACAGACGCCTTTGTGGCCATCCCTTTTGAGCGTGGGACAGACGCCTTTGTGGCCATCCCTTTTGAGCGTGGGACAGACGCCTTTGTGGCCATCCCTTTTGTGTGTGGGTCAGACGCCTTGTCGCTTAGCTGCGGAACAACAACATTATGCTATGTCGCTTTGTGGCCATCCCTTTTGTGTGTGGGACAGACGCCTTGTCGCTTAGCTACGGAACAACAAAATATTTAACTATTTTATATACTCGATTATGGTGATGTGATCATGTGCGTTTTCCAGTGATGCTCAAGTATATTTTATTTTTATAGATTGCAAATTGCGTGATCATAGAGTGAGAGCATTACACAAGTGTCCCGGCATCTAAGGTGAGTTTAGCTTCTTTTGTTTATGTTGTTTGAATATTAAATTGATATTAACACCATTCATATATTATGCTATATAAACAAAAAAAAAAAATATTATATTTTTCTTACTCGCTCTTACAATATTAATGCTGCATAAGTCTATTTCACCCGGATATAGAATGAATTGCGATTGCGCCAAACTCCGGTTGATTGTTGTTTTAGTTCCGTTTGGATTACTTTTTATTTGTGCGTGTAAAAGAGTGATTTTGTTTAGTTTATTGTTTCCAACTATTTTTTGATATTTTTCCAACTTCATGATAATATCTTATAAATAATAAAGCAACCAAACCAAACCAAACCAAACCACTTCCCTTTAAAAACACCAACCAATGAAAACTTCTTCAGGTAAGGCATGCTTAATTAAATGAATATCCGGGTGAAATAGACTTATGTAGAATTCGATATTTCTCTTTCACCGTTTGAGCATCGCTTTTTAGAGATTAGGTTGAGTATATTTATTTAAACGTATATGATTAGAATATGAGTCGTCTTTAATCAATCAGGGAATTATCCTCGCCCACCGGATTGGTTAATGATTACTCATTTCTTCCGATATTTTTGGTTTTTATTATTTAGTTTGACTTAGGCTATCCTACTTTATAAGTGGTTGTTAATGTTTCCCTATACTCAATTAATTGCAATATATTAGACTACATTAGACTCTAGATGTATAATAATAATTATGAGTTATTAAAAATGTTGAAATGTATCAGTAGTACTACTTACTCTTTTACATGTTACTTTCACAAAAAAAGCAGAAAGGCTACAAGAACAGCAAAATACGGTACATTTTATTAACCCACCCCTATATAGAAATTGGGCAATTTAACTTGGGCTATTTTGCAATTTTAACGGCAGCTGATTTTTTCTTCATAAAAAGGTGCTTCTAATAATTACTACACTTTGTATTTTGTAATAAAACTCAATCTCCACAGTTTTTGAACAAAAAAAATTCTGAAAACTTACACCACAGTCTACAAAAATTATTTCTTGTGACATCAAGCGGTAAAATCTATTACCGATAATAATCTAGTGAACAAAAATGTGGTATGACAGTATCACACACAATATATTGAGACATCTTCTATTTATATTACAAATTATACTACTTGTACAGCAAATTATATAAGTATATTTACTACTATAGCGGGTGTTTCTCGAAAGTGGCTCACCTCTATCTATAACTTTTTTTATTTTTTTTTAGATAAAAAACCAAGATTTGGTATGTTAGTATTTAGAATAAATTAGAATTGATTGACGAATTTAATTGTTTTTGGTCACTTCCTGTTTCACCGAAAATTACTAGAACTTTTGTTTTTTAAATGGCAACCTCGGTATTTTTTACTTTATTCGATAGAAAATGACACTTCAAATAGAATGGCATATCATATGCCAAATCTTGACATTTTCGTTTTTAGTTAAAAAAGTTCGTAATTTAAATTTAAATCTAGAGCGCCACGACTGTGTTAAAAATATTAATTTTTAATCAAGGAGCCTTGGAAAAATAGATTTGATCGTCTAATGTTTTTAGTGTCTTATCCTGGCCAGTTAGAAAATGCTTAAATCGTATTTTTAATCATATCTCAACTTTTTCAAATGGAACGAGGGTGGCTCATTAGCATATTTGGAAAATGCATTTTTTATGAATAATTTGATACCACACACATGGTATTTCGAGTCATATTTTCGTTACAAACCGCAAGTTATAATTTCAAATAAACCGTATGCGAAAATGTCAAAAGTTAACATATGATATGTCATTCTATTCAGAGTGATATTTTCTATAGAATAAAGTAAAAAATACCGAGGGTGCCAGAAAAATCAGAAGTTGTAGTCATTTCCGGTGAAACAAGAAGTGACCGAAAACAATTGAATACGTCAATCAATCCTAATTTATGTCATACAGGGTGGCCCATCGAAAACGTTCCGCAAGGCATAACAGCCAGGGTATTTTTTTTTTCGAAATATCGAAAAACACGTCAATTTTGTTTGTGAGGGAGACAACTTTTGCCCCAAAAATGATTGCAAAATCTTCAACCCTCTAAGCGGGGGTGTTATCCCCCAATTTTTTCAAATGGGAGGGGGGGTCAAGTGGTACCGCAATGAAAAGGGCTGTCTATTCTCTATACTTTCCCGCTTCGTTTTTGAAAATCGGTCGAGTCATTGAGAAAATATGAAGGATTAAAATTTGAAAAGTTTATTTAAACATTTATCAGAGTAAATGATAAGGATAAGTTCCTTCGACCAATTTGCTTTTTTTTCTTATTATTTCTAGATGTTTACGCATTTTTTCACTTGCCACAAGGTTGAACGATCAGGTTAGGTAGAGTGTACTTTCTTTTTGAACGGTGTAGTTAATCGGCACAACTGTCGGTACTGGGCTGAAGACAACCCCAGGGTTTTTCACGAGGTGCACACACAAAACCCTCAGAAATTGAAAGTGTGGGCTGGTATTTTTAGAAATTCTATTGTGAGTCCTTTTTTTCTTCCTGGAAATCTAACAGGTGATATGTACTTGGATTTACTGGAAAATACCATCGACCCAGTCTTAACTGAGATCATAGAGAACAATCCTGGATACGTTGAAGCAGAACAAATATTTCAACAAGACGGTGCAATTCCACTCTCAAAATGTGCGTAATTATTTAAACGATAACTTTCTCGTTCGGTGGATAAGACGAAGGGGTGCAATTGAGTGGCCTCCCCGGTCACCCGACTTGACTCCTTTAGACTTTTTCTATGGGGACACATAAAAAGTAAAGTGTATAGCACTCCACCCGCCTCATTAGAAGACCTGTGAAGACGAATTATTGATGTTTGTCGCGAAGTGACCCCGCAAGTTCTTCAGAATGTTCTAGAACGGATTTCAAATAATTTGTTTTACTCTATTGAGGTTGACGGGCAACATTTTCAGCATTTGCTTCATTAATAACATAAGTTTTTTTTTAATTAATTCAATTTATGCGTTTTTTGCAAAAAGTACTTTTCAAATTTCAATCTTTCATATTTTCAAAATGACTCGACCGATTTTTAAAAACCATTTGAAAAAAGTTGGGGGATGACACCCCCGCTTAGAAGGTTGAAGATTTTGCAATCATTTTTGGGGCAAAAGTTGTCCCCCTCACAAACAAAATTGACATGTTTTTGAATTTTTTGAAAAAAAAAACCCTGGCTGTTATGCCTTGCGGAACGTTTTCGATGAGTCACCCTGTATACTAACATACCAAATCTCGTTTTTTTTAACTGAAAAAATAAAAAATTATAGGAGTGAGCCACTTTTCAGACGCACCCGGTATATATATTTTACTGCTATATATAAAAATTAATTTTGTACAGTATTATATCGCTTTTAAAATGTATGTTTGAAAATTTAGATGTAAATATAAATCATAATGATGTCTAAATAAACTTACCTAGTGTAGTAAGATTAACGATTTGCACAACTTCGTGACAGGTTTCCTTCACTTCGATGTAAGTTATTTCGCACTTATATATCGCTTCATCTTCCAAATGTACATCTTCGATCTTGAGAATGGCCTGACCAGCTTCACTCGGATACTCCACTTGCATTCTGAAAACAATATCAATAATATTAATTATAATAGAACGTTGTCGTGCCGTAACGTATTAAGAAAACAAATTCTGCGCTAATAATATCAGTAATATACGGATGGCTTCGTTGCAGATTTAATGCAAAAACATATATTCGCTTTATTAGAGTTATATTTTAGATTTGATTGAAATTTGTTCGAATCACGCAAACTTTATGTACCCCATTTATTAAAATAGGAAATTATTAATTATGATATTCTTACGGGAAATTATATATAAAAAATATGCAAAAAATATAAAATTTGATTAGGATACATGAATTAAATAGAAGATTAGGAATAAAAAATAAAATACTAATACATTATTATATATAAATTACAAAAAATATTTTTTTTTATTAGTTTACCATGTTTATTGACTAGATTATACAACTTGGTGCTGAAATGATTATCATAACCTTTGAGGTTATGATTATCGTTTCTTGGGCAAGTATATTTCTTAAGGTATCCGTTGTATTATTTATCTGTGTATATTTCTTAAGGTATCTACTATTTTAGTAGTATATTATTTTTACTTAGCTTTTGTTGGTAGAGAGAGATATTCAGAGATTCAAGATATTAATTGAACGCAGGCCGCTATCTCCCGTTCGGGACTTAATATCTAACCGATACTTTCCGACAAGTCGGAATTAACTACTCTGCGCTGTAGTTGTCATTTTGTGGTACCTGCCCAAGCTCACGTGATGATGGAGTAGGGCTCCGAAACCGGTAGTGAGAGCAGGTTGATCCACATTATGACAAACACAGCGTGGAATTAAATTTCTATATCAGCAGTTAAGCGGCAAGAATTCTTATATAATTTTATTATATACCTATACTGCAAGAAATATGTTTTCCATTTAATAATTTGGCTTGCCTGGAAAAAAGCCTTTTACTATAATTTTACTATCGATAGTTGCGCCTCGGTAGTACGAAAGTATTGCCATTGCACACAAGCCGCTATCTCCCGTTCGAGACTTAATATCTAACCGATACTTTCCGACAAGTCGGAATTAACTACTCTGCGCTGTGGCTGTCATTTTGTGGTACCGGCCCAAGCTCACCTGATGATGGAGTAGGGCTCCGAAACTGCTAGTGAGAGCAGGTTGATCCACATTATGACAAACACAGCGTGGAATTATATTTCTATATCAGCAGTTAAGTGGCAAGAATTCTTACATAATTTTATCTTAAAATAATATACACAATTTTAAATAAAATCTTTGAAATATCAAATTTGCTTTATGGCTAGAATGTACTATTTCATAATAATATATTTATTTACTAATTTATAACTATAGATATTTAAAACTATGCTAAAGCTGTAAATGAAACTATTAAAAAACATATTAATTAAGTAAGCGGTAACATAAAAATGACAATCTTTTATATTACAAAAAAATGGTGATAGAAACGGTTTCAACTTGAGTTTTCTTTGACTCGGTGAACTACATTTTACTAAGCATCCCTCTAATTAAGACTTTTAAAAAATGAATGAAGATATGAAACTATAACGCAAGCGCTACACCAATACAGGATTCTGCGTAAAAACAATAATCTTAAATTTATTTTTTGGTAGGCATTATTTATTTATAATTTACGTCATATTGAATATTTATATAACTCCATTTACGCAACTCAACTATAAGTTCTCATAGTGTTGGAGTAATAAGGACGTCGAGCTTCATAAAATAAAACGAGAGAAGAATATGCCGTGTTTTGCTGTCGCCATACTATTTTAGATGTAAATTAATTTCGTGCAAACTTGGTATTTATGAAAGGGAGTCATCCTTTGCGAGTCCGGCAGAAATTCTGTCTTCGCTTTACCGACGAACTTGGCGCAGAGAATATTTAGAGACGCTATTAGGAGAGCCTGTGGCTCTCGACTGCTTCTTAATCGAATTTGGAGCGGTTTAATGTGCCCCATTCGACACCGATCTCGTTTTGTAAACGTCTTCTCGGCCTGCCCGACGGTTCATAATACCTTATATTACTGCATGAAGTTTTTGGCAGCAGAAAAGAGATAGAGTATGTAAGTTTTCCTTTATAGGGCTTGCGGTAGTAATATTAATGCAAAATTGTAACAGAAAATTACTTTCTGGTTCTTTATACCTTCAATAGGGATACTAAGTAAATCTTATATACAGGGTGTCCCACTTTAGATGGATACAAGCTAATATCTTGGTTGTTTGTTGAGCGATCTTTTTCATTTTTGGCGGGAGGCTGTATGGCTATAAGACGTACATTTTGCCCAGGGTAAGAAATACATTACCTCATAGACGTACGTTTTAATGGGGTTTGATATTTTTCGAGTCAAGAGTAAACTACCCTTAGGACAGTGTTTATTTCAAATCTGATAAATTATATTGAATCCTCCTTACCTACTTAAGTTCTAATTTTGATAAATATTGATACAGGGTGTGTTATTAAAATACGACATTTTTATTTTTATTATTATTTTTTAAGTACTTACGACGCCACTGGATAAATAACTGGTTTGTTATCTATAACCAATTATCAATTAATAATCGATTTAAGTTTTCAGATAGCTTCCATAATAATTAACTACTTCGTTTAGAGCATATTTTTCAAAGTTAATAGTGATTGTTTTAAATAACTATTTGTTTTTTTTAATATTCCTCAATAAAATGAATAAAAATCTTATTTCAGATTCCATTGAAAAATTATTTTGTAACTCATTTTATTCATTTGTATTAGCAAACTTAAAAAACAATTTTTTAAAGTAAACAAAATAAATTGAAAATATATAGTTTTTTTTGTATTGTATCTTAATTATTATGGAAGCTATCTGAAAACTTAAATTGATTATTAATTGATAATTGGATAGAATTTGGTTATTGATAATAAACCAGTTGTTTATCCAGTGGCGTCGTAAGTACTTAAAAAAATAATAATAAAAATAAAAATGTCTTATTTTAATGACACATAATTTTTAATAACTTTTTGAAACAAAATTTTTTCAAGCAACATTAATATTTTGGTTCATAATCATTTATCAACATTGTCAGATTTGTCCGATTTGAATGAGATTTTGGGTGATTTTCTTTTGCTAAGTGCTTTACTATTTGACTTTCACAAAAATCAAGAAAAAGTACGGGAAGGGTGAAAACTACCCCCACCCGTACATACATTTTAGTATGTTTTCCAACCCAAACGACGGCGACGACCGATTTTCTTTTCGTGAAATGGTCCTTCTAGTAAATACTACATTTTTATTGTTTCTTGAAAAAAAAAAACGCCACCGCGCATGGTTTTTGAGGAGAAAAATTATTTATCCCAAGCTGGGGGAATTCCAAAAAGTGTTTTTTGCCATATAAATTTTAATTTGTCATAAACTCTATTATGCTCTAATAATCTAGTTGGGGAAAAAATAGAATTTCATGTTAGTATCAAAAATTATATTTGATAATAAACTTCATAAAAAGCTTTAAAAAATTATTAAATTTCAAATTAATTTACGTTCGGGTTTATTTTTGATTGTCGTCCTCTAAAGGACAAACGAAGCATTTTTAAATAAAGGTAAATTATGTGCAGTGTCCTTTATTGCAATTAACTTATTTTGATTTAAAAAATACGTAGTTGTTCAATGTCCATTGAATATTGAAATTCCCTGTATATTTTGTAGGTCTTTTTTTCGAAAAATAAAATCTCCAAAATTTTTTTCTCAAAAACTATGCGACATTTTTTTACATACCAAACTAAAATTTATGGTAGAGGTGGGGGTAGATTTCACCCTTCCCGTACTTTTTCTTGATTTTTGTGAAAGTCAAATCTTAAGCACTTTGCAAAACATAGACACCTAAAATTACATTCTAATCGGTTCTTAAAATATCTGAAAGAATGTGTTTAATTGTCCTCTAGCGGAGAAACAAAGCACTTATGGATAGAGGTAAATTGTGTCCAATAAACTTATTTTGATGCCAAAAAACTAGTGATGGGTTGTTATTTAACTATCTGTTATTTTATAACAATTATTTATAAATAACATAACGCAACCGTTACTACTTCTAAAAAATAAATATATATAAAATAACGACACGTAGAGATCGGCCGCTCGTGAAACGAAAAACGAAATCGGCGCTCTGCACCGTCACGAAATTCTATGCTGCTCGAAGCAATTTCAAAAAACAACTAGTATGGATGGAAAATATGTTATTTCGTCAACCATCGATACAGGCGGCGAGACAACGGACAACGGAGTGGGGAATGCGCTACGGCAAACGTAGCTGCTTCCGTCGATACCGTCTATGATCGTATTGGGTTTGCAACAGCTTAAAAATAATAGGATATAAAAGAAGCAGGTTTTTTGAAACAGTTACGCCTGGGCATAACGCCTGGCGGTCGAGATAACAGGAGTGGGAAAAGAACGCTGCTGCATCGGTCGATTGTCGATGGAGATTCGCAACGGGTTGGAGAAGCAGTCATTTTAGATACGTTGTTTTTCAACCTGTTACGAGCATAACAGGGCGGTGGTCGAGATAATCGGAGTGGGAAAGGAATGCTGCTGCATCGGTCGATTGTCGATGGAGGTTCGAAACAGTTTGGAGAATAACGCATCAGTTGTTTTAGATAGTACATTGTTTTTCAACCTGTTACGAGCATAACGGGCGGAGGTCGAGATATTATTGCCGCTGTATGTTTCAGTACTTTTTTTTATTTATTCTGAAAAATTTTCAGAATATTTTAAGATTTTTTAAAAATGTATACAGGGTGTTTAGAAATCTGGTCATTGATTAATCACGATCCTGCTTAAAGCGCTTGACGTAAAAAGCTGATTTTTGGAAAACGGATGGTTTAGATAAGAAGGGATTTTCGAAACTCGAATTTAAGGGGTGAAAGGCGGAGGTCAAATATTAGAACATTTTTTATTTAAAACCGGTGAGTTTTTAAAACTCAAAATTTATATTTTTATTATGTTGTTTTGACATATTTTCAGATTTTTTAAAAATATATACAGGGT